GGGCAATATGCTCATTTCTGTTGTGGCGATGGCTGATGACGAGAGATTATGTATTATTCATCAATATTTCAGTTATGGCACTTTGTGTTGGCCTTTTGGGATATTCAGTGATGTGGTCTGTTGAGGATTAGGTTAGACTGAAGCTGTACAAATAGCATTAGAGATGTTGATATTGCACCAGACAACGAGGCACTGGAGGCGGTTCCATAGGTCATCCCTGTGGACAGGTTAGGTCATGGGGTGATTCAGTAGAGTGTGACCAGGTTGCTTGTTGTGGACAGTTGCTCATGATGTCAACCACCAGTCTACCTGGGCCTAGCAGGAATATTTACACTCACTCGCGCACGCATGCACGCACGCACGCGCGCCTGCCCACTCACCCACCTTATACTTGTTGATGGTCCTGTTTTCCATGTTGATTGTGTGTACAACCCAGTACAAATAATGTACCAAACATAACGTATCGACATATGCAGTGTGTGTATGAGCAGCACGTTATGTTTATTCAAAACAAAATAACACTGATAATTGCAATGCACCAAATACCCACACCTATAGTAAAACTGTTAGATACACACCAAGCTGGTCTACATAGGAAACAATGTCGAGTGTATTTATCTTGCAGAGGATGGTGTTCAAGATATTGTAGGAATCCAACACAGAATGAAATCCTGTATTTATCTGTCATTATCTTCTGCTGTAATTCCGATGATTGGAGGTAAACATGGTGAGCTGCAGACAACCCATGTGTTTTCTTATACAAGACAGTTTCGCTTACCTCCACTTGCAGAAGAGCATAATCATAGCACAGCTGATAGGAATTTATAAATACTTTCTGTCCGTTTGATAAAGTTGGCAGGGCTGGCACGGCATGGTGGCTATTGTTGTTTGTGTGAACAAGGGGAAAGATACTGATGTCTCTGATATCCATTTGGTCTCAAGATTCTGGACTTATTTACTTGTACCATGATTTTGTCCATGTGTCGTGTTGACATCTACAATGGAAAAAAGTATTGTTTATATCTTTCTCAGTTCTTTTGACAGTGCTGATTAAAATTAACATCAGTCCTGGTTCTGTATTGGAAAGAAATTGTTTTGTTAATAATTAGAATGATAAATGTCTGATATTGTATATGTGTTTTGTTCAACGTCATTTAACTGTTGCTAATTTTTCAAAATGGCTGCCAGTGGAAAGATTGTGTGCTATTTCTGATCACATCAATTATCTCATTGAATTGTAGTTCATGCAGAGAGGCTGAGAAGATGGTGAGAATTGGGAAGTTGTGCAGTATATTCAGCTAATTACATGTAATTACTGCTGTAGAAGCTACAATTACCACTCGCCTTCAAGCATCTAGAGTACATTGACTCAGTTGTACTTTTGCACCTCTATTTATCAAAGAGCATTGATATTTGACGGAGTGGATGATTATGCCTTCTTAATTATGCCAATTTAGTAATATACTTGTGCAAAGCATTGGTCAATTTGTTGTTTTTTCCACAAATTACTTCCCCACAAAACATTTCTATAATGTATAGTGTAAGCTTAATAATTAAAGGAACCCCTATCCCTCGTAGAGAGGGGTTTTCAATTGAGTGAGTGAGTGTAGTTTTACGCCGCACTCAGCAATATTCAAGCTATATGGCGGCGATCTGTAAATAATCGAGTGTGGACCGGACAATCCATTGATCAACAGCATGAGCATCGATCTGCACAATTCGGAACCGATGACATGTGTCAACCAAGTCAGCGAGCCTGACCACCCGGTCCCGTTGGTCGCGCGTCGTTTTTGATAGAAGTGATGGTTGTTTGTAATAACCTGTGTATTCAATGAGTTCAGACAGCACCTGAAACAATAGATGTCACCCACCACCTATTTAATCTGAAAGGGTATACATCTTAAAATACCACAAGCATAATATTTGACGTCAAGACATGAGCTTCTGACCTCATCATTGTTGACCCTGAGGCGAAGAAGTCACCCTACTCTCTGACAGTAAGTTCCCAACTATGGTCCTACAGATCAGGAAGTCACTTTACTCTCTGACAGTAAGTCCCCATCTATGGTCCTTGAGATCAGGAAGTCACCCTACTCTCTGACAGTAAGTCCACCTATGGTCCTACAGATCAAGAGGCCACCCTACTCTCTGACAGTAAGCCCCCATCTATCTTCCTTTGAGATCAAGAAGTCACCTTACTCTCTGACGGTAAATCCCCATGTATGGTCACTGGGGCCAAGAAGTCACCCTACTTTCTGAGAGTATGTTCCCATCTATGGTCCCTGAGGTCAAGAAGTCACCCTACTCTCTGACGGTAAGTCCCCATCTATGATCCTTGAGGTCAAGAAGTCACCCTACTCTCTGACAGTAAGTTCCCATCTATGGTCCTTGAGGTCAAGAAGTCACCTTACTCTCTGACGGTAAGTCCCCATCTATGGTCCCTGAAGCCAAGAAGTCACCCGACTCTCGCAGAATATTAAACATGGATGTACAAGGGTGTGATATGGTGCTTGTGACTTGTTTGTACGGAGCTCAAAAGCTCTTTAATGACACACCCGATGTCCATCCCATTGACATAATTGTCCGACATAATTAACATGTTATTAGCAACACAGTGATAAATGTGAATATGTTCACAGATACAATCATGGCAGTATTTAGGGTAGATTATTCCAGCTGATACATTTACTGATGGCTTTCATGCAAAATTGTCAGTTTGATATGTTTTCCATTTCTAAAAAGCGAAACACAGTCACCATGACATACATGCTTAAACTGAAATTTCACAGTTATTGGTAATTGTGCAAGTGTAGTCTTCACTAGTATGTATACTATGTTCAATATTTTAAAAAGATATTATTTTAAAAATATTTTGGGCTTTTTTAAAATGTATTTATATGTTTTTATCACATTGCAAATATAAAAAAAGTCCGGTAGGCTACAGTGCCTGATGATTATATTTTTCTAAATAAACCAGTGTGTGACCTTGCTTTAGCAATACAGTTTGTGTATTCTGAAGAAAGAAGACGGACATTTCTGCTAACTTGCACACAACTGTTTGTTGATAGCACTTGAAAAATTCAATGAGTCTCTATTTAGATTACATTGAAAAGAAACAGAATAAGCATGAAACCAAATTAAAAGAAATTACCTTCTAAAACACACTTAGGCTATATTGCCAGGAAATCAGATACATTGTCTGACAATGTGTTTTTCATTTAATCATGACTGATTACTACATCCTTGACTTCCTGTCTGTAAGTTTATGGAAGGAGATTAGATCTGAATGGCACTTGTTAACACCATACCCAGCAACATGAAATGATTCATGAAGCTACCAACATGTGTAATAGATATCTTTATGATTTACCTCTTGTCATAAATACTGAGTAAAACCCTTCAAGTACAGTTTGTTCTCACATAATTACATTTTTATAATTAGATTACCTTATCTTCAATGTATTTATCACAGTGAAAATTCCCCCTGTGGCTCACAGTCTCATCGTATTGTGATACTGTTATTTCTTGGAGCTGACATTATGCTTATCGTTTGCAGTGGAGGTGATTTGCAGCTATCACTGTGTGCCTTAATAGCTAGGCTGCTGGCATTAAGATGCCAGTGGAAGATATGTAGCTGATTTCTACTATCATTGTGAGGGTTTGCCTGTTTATGTGAAACGTTTGGAAATGGGTTCTTATCAGTGTGAAGAGGTCATGGTGAACTTTGGATATTGGTGGGTGTATCAGCTCTAGTAAATCTGAAAATCTGAATTGTTGTATGCTCCTTTTGGATTTTTAAAATGTCTCTGATTGTTTAGATAAGATAACATTATCACTTGAACAAAATGTTGGTCTAAGTGGTTACCTGTCGAGAGAGCCTTGTTGGGTGCAGATCGGTATAAAGTCTTTTCACAAAATGTCTGTAGCAGAAGGATTTCCTTATTTAAAATGTCAGAGCATCATTTTGGAATTCTTATTCTTCATTCCGCTCAATTCTTGTTTGAAAGTCAATACAATGAGTTTTATATTTATGCCTGGAAAAGTCTTCAAAGGAGAAAAAGAGTTCAAAGAAATATGTAAGTAACAAAGAACCATATTTGACTGGCATTTGAAGGTGGAACAATGTAAGGTGCTGTTGAAAATATGTCAATGTATCTTGCTGTGGTTGGCTGAAAGATGGTGTTGAAGAGTAAAGAATTGTTTACAACCTCTCCGAGTCGCTCCATGTTTCTTTGTGTATCCAGGGCAATGGCTAGCTCGGTTGTGAAAAGCCAGACAATTATATTTGCATAACTGCATCCGTTTGGAATGGCAGGATTCAAGTGTCATGGATTTGTACCCCAGATTGTGCCATGTTTCTCTGCATCAATATTGTGGTTGCAGGCTTCCCCTAAATGTTATGGTATAACTGATATGGTGATATTGTGGAATGTAAGGAAAGACTCGGTGTATATTTCTGTATACGTCTCTGTATCGGTATATAACTCTGCTCACATGTAAATTGTTACAGTTGAATTTGTGATGTTTTCATATGATACATTAACTAATATTTACAGATGTAAAACTACCATTTCTCCTTGATATGTACAATGCAGACATGTTCTACAAATTGGATGTTTATTAGTCCGTTGTATGCTTGTGTTGATATTCCCTGAAGTTAAATGTTTATTTCAGGGATCCATCAGCGAGTCTGGACTGGGTTTTCTGTCCTGGTGGAACTCGTGATATTAGATGGAGATGTCAGTGACAGGTACTTTACATAGATCGGTCAAAGATGGATTCCAGCAGACATTTGTTCATTCTAGTAAATATTACTGAAGGCATCAGTGATTGGATGAGGTGGACACTGTTAACATTCAGTGAAGACTTCACTGTCTGCCTGAAGTGGACATAATGTATCCACCAATTGAAAAGTTCACTAATTGGTTGAAGTGGACAACATGTTTACATGACAGCAAGACTTTACTGATTGGTTGAAGGGACATATTGTGTCTCACTAGAAGTGAAGACGTCACAGATTGGTTGAAGTAGATATATTGTTTCTTACAAGAAATGAAGACGTCACAGATTGGTTAAAGGGGGCATATTGCTCTAACATGGAGTGAAGACGTCACAGATTGGTTGAAGGGGACATATTGTTCTAACATGGAGTGAAGACGTCACAGATCGGTTGAAGGGGACATATTGTTCTAACATGGAGTGAAGACGTCACAGACTGGTTGAAGGGGACATATTGTTCTAACATGGAGTGAAGACGTCACAGATTGGTTGAAGGGGACATATTGTTCTATCATGGAGTGAAGACGTCCCAGATTGGTTGAAGGGGACATATTTGCTCACATGAAATCAAGACATAAATGATTGGTTCTGATGACAGTCAGGATATCGAGTGAAGAGAGTAAAATAGATTCCAGATGGAGTTGCTTCAAAACATCTATCGGTTTGTTTCTGGAGTCACATTGGTCATGTCTTCAGATGAGAATGTAGTAGTCAGTAGCAGACGTCAGACATGGATTCAGAAAGTCTTTGTGGTAATGGCAACTCGTGGAGACAACTGGATTGGATACATTCAGACTTTTCTCTAACAACCATGTCTGTTAGCATTAGGACATCATCCCTAATGTTAACAGACAATGTGTAATCAAATTTTGGACCAGATCCAGGGGGCACATTCATTGTTTGAAGACATAAAGATGTTTTGGTCCTCATTTGTCAAATCTTTCATTAATCTTATGAGCTTGTTGTGTAAGTTGTATAAGTATACGAAACAATGTTCAAGCTAAGGGGAATGTCTGGTAATACATTGGAACCATACCAAACAATTTTCTGGTTTAGTCACATTTTGGTTTAGACAGATTACAAATATTAAAATATCCGTGTTAGAATTCATTGTCAACAAACCATGCCCAAGAGATACCTTAGGATCTAAAGGGATCTCATGGTCACTTTCCCTTGGTCACTCCGTGGCTTGGTTAATGTATGTCATGGCATCTAAATTGCATAGATCGATATTTATTTATGTTAGTATTTACCGATTGTGTTTTATAGCTGGACTATTGCTGCGCCCGATGTGACACAGAAAACAAACTCCAAGGCATCAGTGTTAACAAACAAACAAACAGACACATTCGGCTGAGGTCAGCATCAACATAAGCTCTTTCACACAACGTGAGGTATGCACTGATTAAACCAGCAATAAATTAAACTCGCACAGTTCCTCAATGTTCCTTCTTGCCAACTTACTACCACACATATGCAGTTTCCCATGCTGAAACTTGTCTCTAATTGGAATCAATAAGCTCGGTCAGAATATACTCGAGATGTCATTCCTCGTGACATTTGTATCGATGTACTTTGCAGACAAACTGTTAACTCTTACTGGACACATCTGGATAAGTAAGTAGTATAGTTAAATTCCTAACGAAATGTTCTTCACATGGAAGCCAAACACTAATCCTAACGTGGTAAGCGTACGTGCAGTGGGGTTTCTTAGTTGATTCTTTTACAGGAATAACTGCAAGATTGGTGATGTTGCAGTAAGAAATATTCATCCTGAATATATGAACACCACGACAAAAGTGGGATGGAGGTAGTCTTCAGCAACCCATGCTTGAAAGAGGCGACTGATCAGACAAATGGTCTCTGGAAATATATAATTTGGATAGAACCAGATAATTCCATTTAAAAAAGAGATCTAGGAAAAAACATCATATTCTGTATATTCTGAAAGACGAAGACACAGTGGTTTTGTGCGACCAGAGTTTTACAACGAAAGTTAACGCAAATATTTGACACTATTACCCTCTACCAGGTCAGTGAAAGGAAATAATCCTCGTTTTGTACAATCAAATTGCTGAAATGCACATTTCACAAAAATGATATAGGGCCAAGTTCATAATGTACGACTTATTTAAATGCATCTATACTATTTTACCATTTCAAACGTTCGCATTTAATGACAACGTCACGAGTCGAATTTCAAATGTATGACTTTTAAATAATCATTGATGTTTTATGATATAAATCACAATGTCTATCTTGAAAGAAGAAATTATCTCTTGAATTTCTTTCACATTTGTAGTAGATTGTGTACCTTGATTGGATGATAGGTTGTACGGACGAAACAGCATTCCAGAGACAAGAGCCCAGTACTTCTGACATTAACCCATTAACACAGTCTTGACTTGTGTAAGTACCTTTGACAAGCCTAAACATTAACGCCGTGTGGTTACTTTCACTTACAACTGTTGGAATGGCATTCGAGCGGGTAGACAGAAGCCCGTCCATTATGTTCTTTAGTGCCCGTGACTTTGGCACTTGACCGTGATGACTCTTGTGGCCTTGGCAATACCTTTCACCTCCACATATCCCGCCGAGAGTTGATACAACGTCACTCAGACAGCCAAACATGTGGTTCCGCTACTTGCGATCACCACCATCAACAATCCAGGAACATCTACGATAATATAATTAGTGCTACTAGAACATTATTTTGGTGACAGCTGTCTGCCTATGATAAAACCATCACCAGACAGGAATACCGGTGTCATTTGCATGGCTGCTGCTTTGCAGAAAACAGAAGACGAAATGTGTCCGTGCCAAGCCAGATTCATCCGTCTGTTCCACATGGCATGTGAGCTAAAATGGTTTCTTTCGGAGGCTATAGGCTGCCCTGATTACATAAATGTTATTTTTCATGATGCCTCTTAAACTGTACATGGAATCTGTTATGTCAGAAACTCCACAAAGTGGAATTTGTGACAAGAGCTTCTGGAGATGTCGCCTATTTGTACTTGTTCCAGTTTATTTAATATGAGAACAAGCGTTGTGGTAATTGTCTAGTTACAAGTTCCAGTCAACGATTGGCTACCAACATGGTGATATGGATTTTTTAAACTGACAAAACCAGCACATTTGATGTGTGACGAAATTCAAACAAACGAACTCATGTACAAGTAGGCCGAACTTTATAATATTTCAGGAATGTGACAGTTGTCTGTAAATAACCGAGTCTGGACCAGACAACCCACTGAGCCAGTTCCCATGCCGTTGGGTTCAGTTCATGAAATTGACCATGCCACAATTTACCCGGTCACCCACTTTCCCGATGTCAAGCTTATGTCAAAGTGTAAAACTAGACGTCTATACAAGCTTGTGGACACGCTTCCCTTAGGAAGATGCCAAACACTTAGCCTCTTGTGACAAGCTGAGGTTGCTGGAGCTCTTGAGGTACTGATATAATAAGAGCGCAGTATTTGGCTCTTCACAATAGCTCTCTCAATGGTCTCACCTAAGTGGTAGACGTCAGAAACTAATTACATGACCTTCCTCACAAATCAAGATGACAACAACATCACACTCAGCGCATTCCCAAATCACCAGTAGTGTTTATGTACAGTATTGACAATGTCTACTGAAGAAAGATTTGTGGATTTTGACGGAACTATTTCTGCGAATAGTAGGCTATTGGACTGAAATAATTATGTGTAATTCTGGTGGCATTACAAAGTGTGTTTTAAATGTCGGTGAAACATTTGTGCTGTGTTTAACTGCTGTGTGTTCCACAAGCCGACATGTTTTATTGCCAGTTCATTGGGACCACCATCGAACTTCTCACAACTGTCACTTACATGCTCGACCTGAGCTAACGCCAGGAAACAAAATAAGAGGGGGTTACATTAGCGTTTAAAATTCCCGCTTGCCCGACCATCCGGAACGGTCTATTTTCATGTCGGACGGTCAAATTTCAAAAGTAGCCTGTCCGGTTGTCTGGTAGATATTTTTACCCCTGAGAGTAAATATTTCATAATATCAGACAGGCTATCTTGTCGTATGTTAAACTACTTACGATTGGACAGTTCATGTTACGATAACCAATCACAACACATGTACTTTCAGTTTACCCAAACTCGGTGCATTGCCTGTTAGTGCTATGTAGTTCATTGCGATGCGTACAAACGGTGAATGGAGCTTGCGCGAGTTGGAAGTGGCAGTCACAGTTTTGTACACACTCCGGCGCAGTAATGACTTAGCATTACATCACTGCCACGGGCTGATTTGCATATCACGTGACCGGACTTCTCTTGTTTGTAAACAAACGCGCATATTCATAATAAGAAGAGACTGGCCTTACGCAAGCTTTTCGGCGCGCTCTTCACAATGGTTTACATCGTTACATATATATTCTTCCACAACTACGACAGTAATGTTTATAACAATACATATTTAGATATCGAACTGGCTGCATCGTTTGCTCTCCGTCGGCTTCGATGACAGCACGTGGTGCCGTACAACTTATCTAAACAAAGAATCCCTACGCAAACCGAAATAGTGTTACATGTTTTAGGATATTTTCTCAGTGAAACTAAACCATTCTATCAAATATGTTTACTTAGATGTGTAGACTCGTCAAAAATAAAAAAAGTAAAAAGTTTGTATCCGGACTGGTATTTTTTTAAAGTTACCAGTCCGGCTGCCTGGCTTGGAATTTTGGGAGTTTTAAACACTGGTTACATGTGTATCTTGATTGTACTTGTCTTTGGATATTCTTGGGAGGGAAAGGTTCTGGGACTATGAATGGAAACTGAACATTAAAAGAGACTGGTAGTTTATTATAGGGGATGATGGGTCAGAGGGAAACAGATGAGGGTCATGAAAAATAATACACATAATTGGGGATGGTCGTGACAGAACGGACGTTTTATAGCAAATTATAAAGTGCTTCTGCATTTCGCCTTTTCAGTTGATGTGAAACGGGCTGGGTCATACTAAAATAAGCCTAGTCTAGTGGTTATAGCATTCGGTCGTTAGGTCGATTCTTCATATGGGTACACTTTGTGTAGTCCATTTCTGGTGACACAGGCCGTGATATTGCTGTAACCTTGCTAAAAGCGGCATAACACCACACTCATTCACTCATAAAATAAGACTATCAGCTGTCGTTATATTTTTCTTTGGTGCTTCAAAAACCTCTGAGCAGCATCTCTACCTCAACCCCCAACCACCTGATAATGTTTTGTGTGCACATTTCTTTCTTGTTCAGCAAAGCTCGTTTTGTGGTGTGTGTAACTGAACCCGAACAAGTCAACACGTCCAGTTTGCTCATTTTCCAAATTCGTTAAATTATTGCAGCGCCTCTCTCACCTGCAGACGATAGAAGTCATGTCGGGCAGATAATGATGTCGGCATGAGGGGGCCGTAGCCATTGCCCCCATTCCTCCGCTG